TGGTCACTTCACATGACCCTGGGACACTGTGACCATCACAAATATGAATCAGTTGCCAAGCATCTGAATGTAAATCATAAGACCCTGGAGATGCTGCAACATTCCAGCTGATCGGTGCTTCTTCTGGGCTCAGCAGAAGTGCCAGGATCAACGCCAGGCTCCAGCTAGAGCCTGGAGCTGATCCTGGCGCTTCAGCTGAGCCCTGACAGCCCTGCAGCTCCAGCCATCTCTTGCTCAGGCTTGTGCGGTGCTGCCACTGGTTCAGCTCATTCCCCTCCCCTGCTACCACTTTTCTAGGATGGTTGCGTACCACCTGCCAGGTGCCAATGTACTACAGGTGGTTCCCCTTCCACTGGTTGAAAAGCCCTGTTCTAGTCCAACCCTTTGCTCAAGTAGGAAACGTATAACATTTCAGACAACGATTGTTCAATCTCTTTAAAAACCTCCAGTGTTGGAGCACCCACAACTTCTGGAGGCAAGTCATTCCAGATAGCCCCCATTTGTGTATATAGGACTATGATCCTGAAATTAGCAGAAATGACCTCTGAATTAGAACCAAGGACAGATGGGGAGAAGACAAAAGCATACTCTCATGACTGGCTCTTAGTAGTTCTAATCTGTGTGTGAATTTTTTAAAAAATCTTCTAAGGAGCAGGAATCACATCCAAATATGAACATCCATATAAAATATTATGAATTTCACATTAACTCCAAACCTTTGTCTGCTTCACGATCACCATAGAAATTTCCAGCTGTCACCCTAAATTTTCCATAGTTGGATTTATGCTGAGAGACCACCCATCTCTCCTTCCATTTTGCTGTTAACAAAAATGAAAATATTTGTCACCAAATGGAACTGTTAATAATAGCAAGCCAGGGACCAGAAACAAAACCAGAGACAAACAAAAAAAGTAAATACAATACACAAAAGCAGTGCTTTTTTTGTAAAAAAAAAAAAAAAAAAAGGTGCCGGAACTCACACACATCATACAACCCGCCTTGCCTACTCTACAAGGTTCCATCCAAAAAAGGTGCCAGAATTCCGTTCTGGGCGTTCCATGAGAAAAAAAGCTCTGCACGAAAGGCCGAGTGCTAATGATAGGTATAAAAAATTGGAGTGGATAGATAACACATACATATTAGATGATCAAAAGTAGTACATACATGTATTTATGCACCCATCCATGTATGTGCAGTCATTGCAAATTTGGACAAAAATCAGATTAAAATGACAAGCACTCAACAAGTAAAAAAAACATAAGACGTGGAAATGGAATTCAAGAAGAATGCAGTCAATGACCAAGTCAAACTTTAGATGCTTAATTGTTCTAAATCAGCAACGACTCTTTGATGAAAAGAAACTAGCAATTAAATACAGGTTACAACCACAAAATAATTTTTGATCATCCACAAGACCACTGTTTTTGCAGCAAAGTCTCAACATGACTTTCCTGCTGAAAGTGGTTACAACTGCTACAGAGTAATTGGAAATCACCTATTTGGTAGAGAGAGAAGAAAAAAGGAAGTCACACAGGGATCATATTACATTATTTTTGAAACATTGTAACACGATGTAGAATACTTATTTCATTCTATAGAGGTCTGAATTGCTCTACTATATTACTATATTATTATACAACAGAAGCGAACATAGCAGGATCCTTGGTGCTCTCTGAAATAGTTGTTTGCTTGCAAATATACCAACCAGGTAATATCATTAGTGGGAGTGAGTGTGGAGTTTGCTCCCTGTTTATATATAAAAGCTTACCCTGCCAGTTTTGGTGGGGAATGTTTTCTCCTTGGTAGTTCCTTGATTAGGGTATTGTTTTCTGTTTATTTGCCTAGGGCTAATCCCTGTTTATCTAGGTGTTGGCTGCTGAAAGGATATGTTTTGGTGTTTTTGTTTCCTTTGTAATTTTTTTATTGTCTTTTGAATTGTGTGTAAATATGATTTATTTCTATGTGTCTACTGAAGGCTGATTTGTCTGAATGCCAAACTTCCAGAAATTCCTCAATGTTTTTGCATTTAACTTGGTCTAAGTTGCTCAGTTTCCTAACTGAGTCAATTAAAAGCTAAAACGAAAAAAAAAAAAAGTAGAATACATCCTCTCCAGCAACCAACACCAGATAAGCCAGGATTAACTCCAGACAAACAATCAAGCAAAAAACCACATCCCCATCCAAACTGATGGGGAAAGCTACTGTATATAAACAAGGAGCAAACCCCATACTCACTGCACTGATGTTACCTAGGAGGGTAAAGAAATGTCTATAAGCAAACAATCCAGCTCAGAGATTAGTAAGGACTCCACTGCTGTATCATCCTCAAGATCTAAGTGACAAATATTTACCCAATGATTTTTCTTTTGTCTTGGAGATTTATCTACATTTTAATTAGTTGACTGTTTAGCTAGCTAGGAAATCCTTTAATAATGAAAAAAAAAACCACTCTGAAAAATGGAATATGCATGAAAGCCTTTGAAATGAATAAAAATCCCATCTCTGGATGGGGCTGCTATGTGTTTGTGTTATTACATTTATGGGTGGCCAAAGATATTGGTAATCCCATTTTTCCTCAAGGAAGCCCAATTTGCTGTGAACTTGAAACTGAAACAAGTAAATGTCATCCATCATTCTTTATTCCATAGTCAATAAAGGACCCTTGATGTTGATTCTGATTTAACTAATTCATGAAACAATAACACAAATGAAAATGACATGAACATATTTTGTTTCTAATACGGGAACAAAATCAGGAAAATGGTATTCCTAATTATTTTGTAGTACACAAAATAACAAACAATAACTGCAATCAAGATTTTCTGACTCTCTGAATAATTTGTCACATTCTTCTTGAGCTATCTTCTTTTCTAGATGTCTTCAGTCTGATGCATTTCTCCTCACAAGTATGAGTTTCAGCTCTCTCCAGAGATATTGAAGACTAAAAACTCCAGTTAGCAAACTCCAGTTTGGCTTTTTCATGTCTTTTTCTTTCAGAAGGGGGAGTCTTCCTAGGTCTTCTACCATGGAGCCACTTTCAATCAGATGGTGTAAGAAATCAGCCAGGGTCTGTTTTGAAGATCCTCCATTCAATGACCCTTCTGTTCAATCCTATCAACTTTCCTCTTTTAGCCATTGTCCAGGAGGGTGGGACCTTAGTCCCAGGAACTTCAAACTTCTTGATAATATTAGCAAGCATGGTTACAGGAATATAAGACTCTTTGGAGATAGTTTTACAGCCTTTACCATGCCTAGCTATTACTGTACTTTTTTCCTTTCCTCCTCATACAACTCTCAGCTTTTCTTTCGCTTGTCTTTATTAAATATGTTGTACACAATGACACAAAACAAGCTGACTGATTATGAGATAAAAGGCAGCTGTGATACTAATGAAAGTAGTCTCGAGATCAATAAAATCCAGTATCTTTTATCTTTTAATGGTACCAGTAATTATATTCACACATTTTTGTTCTTTAATTATTTACAATATGTTTAGTAATCCATCAAATGCAAAGTTGTCTGTTCTATAGACGATAAAATAAAGGATGCCATTTTCTTGCATCAATTTCAGCTTATTTTACCATAAACTGGGATTCTTTGGGAAAAAAAATTGAAAGGGTACCAATACTTTTGGCTTTGCTTGTATAACCTGCCTTCCTGATAACTCCAAATGCTTTAAACTTTCTCCTTTCACAAACTATATGTCAGATTGGGCTGAGAAGTAATATCTGATCCAATATGAGAGGGAACACTCTCCCCTCCCTGTCCACTATCTTAATCCTTCCACATTTTGCACAATATCACATCCATCACATTTAAGCTAGGGTTAATGGTTCTTCGGCCTTTGCAGCCCAGATCCGGTGGCTTCATTTAAGAGAGCAGGGTGTTAAAAAAAGTATGTTTACGTAAAAGAGACTTTTAATGGAAATACTATTTCACTGTTTCAATGTCCTCACTTTTGATAGTTTTAACTTGTAAAAGTCTGAGGCTGAGTTCCTATGGCACACATAGACAGGTCAGCAAAGAGCTAATACAGGTATCCTCGACTTATAACAGTTCATTTAATGACCGTTCAGTTACAGCACTGAAATGTGACTTATGACCATTTTTCACACTTTGTCCATTACAGCATCCCTATGGTCATGTATTTTACATCCAGCTGCTTGGCAACTGATTTATATTCATTATGGTTGCAGTGTCCTGGAGTCAGTGATCCCCTTTTGCAACCTTCTGACAAGCAAAGTCAATGGGGAAGCCAGATTCACTTATCAACCATGTTACTAACTTAACAACTGCTGTGATTCACTTAGGAAATGTGGCAAGAAAAGTCGTAAAATGGGGCAAAACTCACTTGACAAATGTCTCACTTAGCAATTTTGGGCTCAATTGTGGTCATAAGTCGAGGACTATCTATATATTCGCACACGTGGCTATTAACATTGTGACTCAGCACCTTGCCGGAACTCAGGCCCTTGGCTCATTTTTAATCCAAATGGGCAACCTTTAAAATGGGTTAAGGAATTATTTCGCCCTAGTCACTTGCCGACCTGACCCCGCCCTTTGTCCCGCCCTTGCTGCTACTGCCACCACCTCCGTCCAGAAACTGCTCCCGGAAATAGACCGTGCCGTGGACTGGCAGAGGCTGAGCTAAAACCAGAATCAGGGCGAGCAACAGCGATCCCATCGAAAGACAGCAGCGAACAATTATTGCTGAGGCAGCAGCTGCCGGAGGCCAACGACTCTAAGCTTCCGACTCCGCGCGCGTGCAGAAACGTTCGTTCATTCCTAATTGCTTACTTTCCCGCCTTTTCCCCGGGAGTTGCTCATTGGGTGTCGTTAGGGGTCCTTCCTCTGATTGGTCTTTTGCCTTCGAGCACCGCGCACGGTGTTTTTTTGTTTTGTTTTAATCGCCGATTAGCTATTGGCTTGCAACCTCCGGCCAATGAGGGAGTCCTGTTAGGATGGCTCTGGACGAATTAGGATTGAAGATACTGGTATATGCAGTTGCTAAACAACGCGGCGCTCGGTCCGGTGGAGACGGACGCGATCCTGCGGAGCTATGCGGAGGGGCGGCTGGCCGGAGTTTACTCGGGCTGACGCCCTCTTGGCGGGGAAGCGTGTCGTCGGGAGACGGAAGCAGGTGATAATGACGAGGCTGTTTTACCTTAACGTGCTAGTCCATAAACAAGCACCATCAATCTCGGTTCTAAATCTAAAATCTTACTTGATTTGTAGGAGCAAGAAGGGATTGGCAAGAGCAAGCCAACCATCCAGGCCTCCAGTAGCAGCACTCGCTGGCTTTCCGTTTTCCCCACGGACAGTGACTCGAGTAACCTCTCCAATCCGAGCAGTCCTTGCGTGGGAAGGGAAGGACTGGAAAATGTGGGTCCTGCTGAGACCACCCGACCGGCACAGCCTGGCAGCCGGTTCCTCAAACAGAAACCACAGAATGGGGACGTGGAGATCCAGCAAGCGGGGCACAATCCTGTCACGAGGGTGGGGCTCAGTGCTGACTCCAAGGGGAGATCAAATGCCATCCTCAGAAAGTTGGCACAAATAGAGAGTAAGATCCAGAGCCGGAAGACCAAGCAGAGCATCGAGCAGATACCTGTGTTGGATAATGAACTCTCATTGAGTGAATCTAATGACGATTTTGAATTGAGGACAAGCGGTCTGAAGTTCCTGAAGAAGACAGCTAGGCTGAAGGAGAATGTCAAAGCTCAGACGAAAAGTGTGACTCTTGCAGACATAACTGGTGATAATGAGGAAGATGTAGATAGATATAGACAAGAAGTTTGCCCAAAATCCCAAAGACAGGAAGATAAATTCAAATTCAAACCTAACAGAAAGGTAACTTCAGCTCTTTTTATCTTGCTGACTTGGACTGATAACTATTGGTGAAGGGGAACATGACCCAACTTCTCCATGTTTATGTTTCTCAGAGTTGGAACTTGTTGACAAGTACAGGTAGTCCTCAACTTAATTGACCCCCAAATTTCTGTTGCTGAGAAATTTGTTAAGTGGATTTTGCCCCATTTGGTAACTTTTCTTGCTACATTTGTTAAGTGAATCAATGCTAAATTAGTAACGCAGTTGTTAAATGAAACTGGTTTCCCTGTTGACTTTGTCAGAAGATTGCAAAAGGTGATCACATGACCCCAGGACACTGCAATTGTCATAAATGTGAGTCATTTGTCTCACTCATAGATATAATGTTCACAGATTCTTTATGCTTTGTTTCATCTGAAAAAACTTCTATTACAAATGAATTATTTTGAAGACCTTTATTTTGGAAACGTGGAAAGTGTTTAGTTCTTTCAGTATCACAGAATCCCAGATTTGGTAACATATCCTAATCTTCTTTCTTCCCTCCCTGCTTGTTTCCCTTCCTTTGCATTAATTCATCCTGATCCAGTTGCTACCAGAGACATCTTCCACTTCAAGATCTCTGCCTGAAGAAAGTCAAGTGAACGGACTTCTATCCCATTCTCCCTCTTCACCAAACAGGGATACAAGAGCAAGCCATGTAGCTTCCTGTTCCTCCTCTCCATCTATGAAAGACAGTCTAGCAGATACAATAACCCATAACAGGAGCTCCAATTACCAGAGGAAATCTCTTTCTGAACGGAGTATTGTCCGATCCTTGGATGAGTTGTTCTCTGATGTGGCTGATATACATAATGATATTTCCAGCAACAGTGGTGAGTTAAACAGATCACTTTGTCATGGCACGCTCTTTGGAAGGAGTAAAAACTTACTGTGGTCCCAAAGTTGCTGAATTGTAATTTACTGTATTTGGGTTCAGCAAACTATCAAGTTCCCATCTGTGTTTACTGTACAAAAGTAAATAGATCAGTTGTCCAGAGTCTCTGGAGAAATAGCACAATTGACCTTTAAGATTATTTCTTTTAAGAAAAAGGGGCATCTCAAAGTAAAAGATAAGCAATAGTTTTTAAAAAGAGCGGGAAACAATTTGACATTTTTCTCCAAAGGTTGTCCTTGGAGAAACAGGTACTGGCAGTCTTTGGTTTACATCCATTTGTTCAGCAATTGTTCAGTTAGGGCAGTGCTGAAAAAAATGGACATATGATCAATCTTTGAAGTTCTGTTTGTCACAGCACTTCCGTGGTCATGTGATCACAATCCAGGCACTTGTAGGCCTGCTTCACGATTACAGTGATAACCCAGGGAGAGTCATGGTCATGTAATCACCAATTGAAGCCTTCCTTGACTTCCCACAAGCAAAATCCATGGGTTAAGTTCCCTGAATTTTCTGCACTTGCACCATGGCTTTCCTTAATTTGTAAATATCCTACACCTGTGCTCCCCTATCCCCTGCAGCACCCCCGCATTCCTTAGATTGCTGCTACCTCCTGCTTAACAACCCATGCTCCTTGGGGTTACAGAGGCAACTGGGACTGCTTGGATTCTCACTAAGTGATGCAATTATATAACATCACACTTTGCAACTGTATCACTTATCAACAGCAATCGTCCCAACTGCCATCATTACCCTAGAACTAGTTGTACTTCAGAATTATGAAAATAAGATGAATTTTATGCAATATGATATTTTCCGGCACTAGAAACATTTCTAGAACTGTACTCCAATCTCAGAAAACTAAATTATTAGCATTGCACTTAAATCCTATGCATATTTTTAGCTTGGTGTTCCCTCCCAGTTTTGAGCTGCAACTTATAAAGCCTGGCTAAAATAGAAAAGCAGAAGAAAGCAAATGTTGAAACGCTTTTTGTGGAAATCATGACAAAATTAGCCAGATATCAGTAAATAAATAACTTGGCCTTCTTATAAGACACGAGGACATGAGTTCTATCACTAGATTACCCTAAGTGATTGTTTCTTTTTGCTGTAGATTTCAGAGTGAATATTTTGAGCCTGGATGAACTAGAACCTTGCCAAAAAACAGAATTAAAAGAAGAGGTAAAGCAACTCTTGTGGTTTCAATAGGAACTAATAATCTGTGCATCGGTATTAGTCTGTCACCCTAGAGCCTTTATTAAGGAAGCAAAGATTCTGGACTGTTGGGTCATAATTTTTTCTGCTAATTCTGTCAGAAAAAAGCAGCCTGTTATTCTGACTAGTGTGTAAGCATGGAGGAATCTGTAACATCTGTTCATTTTTTTTCGAAAATAAATATTACAAAGAAATGTGTTCTTTTTTGCTTGCTTAGCTTCCATTTTGTGCTGCAGTCTGATTCATGCTGATAGAAAAATATCTTTCTCAGGTAATACAAGCAGTTGAGAAGTCAAACAAGAACTTAAGAGGAACAGTTCTGTCTCCTGCTAATCCCCAAAGCCTCTTTAAAACCTCAGCTGTGTCCTTGGAGGAAGAGGAAAACCTGGAAGAAACTGAGATATCTGAGCAGCTAAGCAGCAGTTCTGCTGGATATTCCCCTTGCAAGGAGGAAAGCCTCAACGATACTGAGTATTCGGAAGATTTTGAGCCCTCATCATTTTCTCCCACATCTAAGGAAACAGGAGGAGAATCGTCTTCTGAAAAGTCAGATGACCTGTTGGGTGCCTCAGTTCATTCCATCCAATCTAATTTATCTTCTCCCTGCTGCCCTTCTGTGGCACCTGAGGGCACCAAAGCCATAAAGAAGATAGAGGTGAAAGAAGCAGCTGTTCAGACCGGTTCCTTCTCACTTGCCTATCATAGGTTACAGTGTAAGTCAGTCAGCATGGGGTAGATTAAGATGCAAACTGGTTTTCAGAAATGGTGCAGTTGCCTTGTCCCCTCTGCTATGAAGTGTCTTCTTTTCCCTGTCACATAGATGATGTTCCTGTTGGCCATGCAATACCACAAAGCTCTGCTGAAGCTCCGTGTGTTAGCAGCCATACATTGAACATGGAAGTCATAGAAGGTAATACCTCTCCGTGCCCCTGCTGAGCACCATCCCTTATTTTACTTAACTTTACAGAGAGGCACCTCATTATGGAACAAAACTGTTACCGCTCCTCCTGATTGGTCATTGTCATTTAACTAATTTGTAATGTAAATGTCATTTTAAAACCTGTCAACCAGGTGCGCTCTGCAACCCTGGTTATACCTGAAATCCTCTTAAATGAAGGTAGCAAGCATTGAGCCAATGCTTGCAAAATCTGAAATCCATTGAGACATATTTCCTCCCTAAGGGGTGATTCCATCCATAAAGATTATCAGATGCAAATATCTTAAGATTTGAAGCATATCTGTGATCAATCTGCTCTTCCTGAGAGGGACCTAGTTATAGCCAGTCAGAGCAATTAAAACTATTCTTATATCTTTTTGCCTTCTGCAGCTCTCTCAATATACAATCCATCCATCTCTGCTTTGAATAACATGTTAAAACAAAACTTGCTGCTTATTCAGCAGTCTATAGAGATCAATCGACATCTTCATGCCTCCTTTGTTGCATCGCTGGAAGAGGAGGAATACCGCTATCACACCTTGGAAGAAGCCAAAATGGTAATTGTTAGATTATGTGCACATAAAAAATACCCACTTCGTAGCTTTTCAAAGCTAAATTTATTGTTTTATTCTTGCATTCTGAATCTGTGACACTAAATATCCAGAAATGGAATCTTAAATAAAAATGTAAATAATGCTGCAGGTACTTAAGTCCTCCACTATCATTCATTCCTGAGATCTAATGGGCTGATCTAGAAAGGTTTGCGTATCCCACATCTTGTACTTAGGACATGTAAGGGAAATGTTTTATATAGTAAGGGGATGCCTCTCTTAATCTGTAATTTAGGTAAATTAGCTTAGTTGCTTTATCACTGATAAAACAAAACCTCTATCACTCATAAAACAAAATCACTGATGGGCTAAGCTTCAGTAACAATAGCTGCAATTTTTAAATGGTAAATTTCAGCTCATAAACAACAAATTTTAAACAATTTAAAAAAATTTTAAATCCACACTTTTAAGAAGTTATTCCTAATTTCATTTTTGGTTTGGTTAAAAATAAAAGCAAATATTTTGTGTACATAATAAAAATAATTAAAGGCAAAGGAATGTGTGTGTTAAATTGTTCCAGACAATATTAACAAAAATTGTTCATTTTTACACTGCATTTGTAGTCTCCATATTCCATTGTTCATTAATATGTAGCAGCTAAGGCTGTTCCTTCAAATCTAGTTTAAATTTGCTTTTATTTTATACAAAACATCTGTATTTTTAAAAAAGTACAGGGAGAAAGCATATTCATGCACGATGCTACTCAAATCTAGTCTGCTTAATGATGATGAGTGATGTTCCTAGGAAGCCCAAACTAGTGTTGAGGATGAGGGTAAAAATTCTGGTTCTAGTAATGGACTAGATGAGGTTTGACATTTTCTTAATAGGTGGTTTGTTTAGGCCAGGGGTCTTCAAACTTGCCCTTTTATGACTTGTGGACTTCAACTCGCAGAATTCCTCAGCCAGGCATGCTGGCTGAAGAATTCTGGGAGTTGAAGTCCACAAGTCATAAAAGGGCCAAGTTTGAAGACTCCTGGTTTAGGTCAATGTTTCTCAACCTCAGCAATTGTAAGATGTGTGAACTTCAACTCTCAGAATTCCTGAGCCAGCATGTTGAAGACTGCAAATCTTAAAAGTTACTGAGGCTGAAAAACACTGATCTAAACATTAGTTTAGCTTGTTCTGAAAGAGGTTTTGAAAAATAAAGTGCTCATTTAAAATGCTTTTAGATTAGGGATTGGCAAGCCATGATCCCATTTGCCATCTCTGGAAAGGGTTAACCAGTTTTACCCTACACACAGTTGCAGCCAAATAAATGAAACCAAATCACGCCAGTCATGACCTATATACACACTCCACCCAAAAAGTTGTCTAGCTGTGTTTTAGAGCTTTTTCTTTGGAGGGACAGGTGTCCTCTGTATCACATAGCACTTCTAACAGTTTAAGGTATTGTGACAATTACAGGACTGCTGGAATATAGAATTTGGCTTCAGGCTGTACCGTCGTAATCTCTTGCCTTGATTAGTGCAACACATTATGCATGTGTCTGCCTCTGAGGAAATGTGGAAATTTCTTAGTACAATAGAGAGTAATTGGAGCTAGACTGTTTTTATTTTCATTTTGAATTAATTTTACATGAGCTTCATTACATTAAAAGTTAATTTCTGGTTCCAATTCAAAGTGCTGGTGTCCTATAGGAACAATAAGAATCTTCCCAGATTTCTTAGCCAAACTTATCTCCTAAGGATGAGTTGGGATAAATGACTGACCTGAAGTTTTAGAATGTACTATCCAGCAAGACACTTTTTGGCCACACATCTTTCCAGTGTGAAGACATTTTGTTACATTTGGATATTTTATTTTATTTTAAAAAATACTGATATTAATAATTTACATTGGGGTGAGAATGTTCTCGATAGTTTCCCATCACGTTACTATAGTTTTAGATCCTGCTTAGGTTCATCAATTTCATATTTGTGGTTTCAAAGTGTTGCAGTTTTAGTTTTGAAGATTGGCAATTTTTTTTTAAAAAAAAAAATACATTGAGCTGGTTTAATCTTTTAATACTAAAGACAATTCTAGGATTGGTGTGACTGCAGCCTCAATACATCTCCCCCTACAAAAATTCAAAATTTCAACTGCCCCGATTATATAACGGTCAGAGTAAAGAAAGCTGTGGGCAGGGAGTGGTTTAGTACATTATCTGGTTTTTATCTGGCTTTCTTTCTTGCAGTATATTCAACAGCACAAGCCCCTGCCTCTGACTATGGAACAAGCCTTGCAAGAGCTGAAAGAACAAGAACAAATGGCTTCTTAGGTTCATTGCTCCTTTTCAGGCCCGTAAAAAAATGGACGGCACCAGAGTTTTTAGAAAGAAGGCTACAGTAGTAGTTTCTTCAGTCAAGCACAAAGTCTTGGGAATCACAACTTGAAATATGCATTTAGCTGGATTTTTGAAGAGAAACCTCAACAGAGAGTTTCTTTACCGCATTTTGATGTAATTATGCAATGTACAATTCAGTGCTGCAAATTAAAGTCAATCTCTAAACCTTCGTCTACATTGGCAGTATTAAATGAGACTGAGAAAATATTCTGCTGCTGCATCAGCTATTAATAAATCTCATCCTGATATAGAAAAAAGTTTTTATTGGAAGGCAACAGTAAATACAAGATGGTAGCTGACTCATGACAGAAAGGTTGAAAGATGAATAAATTTCACAGCTACAGGAAATCAGTCTACAACAGTTGCTACCATGTCAAAATGGATGGCTGTGAAAGAACAGTTCTAGACAGGTAGGAAAATGGTTCTTTCAGTTTGCACAGGGCAAGCCTTAGATCACTTAGAACTGGCGATCTATGGGCACCCTCGGTTACAAAAGGTATTTTCAGACAGGGCTTCTAGGAACGTTTCATATTTTGAAATAAGCAAGGAAATGCGATGGTGCTACAGATGAGTCAGTCTCCAGCACTCCTCTTAATTCTTAAAAGGATTAAGATTTTATATACAAAAATATAAAAGGCCTAAATATTTTTTTTTCTTGTTACAAATCCTTAAACATCTAGAAGTAACTGTTGAGTGGTTAAGCCCTCTGTTCTGGATGGAGCTGTGATGGCTGCAGAGGGGTATCTTGGGGGTTTAGAATGTACAGTAGATTCTTGATTCATTTGCCCAGTACTTGGTAGCTATCTGGCTTCCTCCACTTGAAACACCATTAGCCTTTAGGAAAAAAATATAATTGTCAGAAAAATATAAATTGTAAATTGGGGAGCTTGAAAACGCTTCTGAAATGATCAACCCCTTTAGTGCTAAAAAAAATCCAGTTTCACACTTGAAATGAAGTTTTGATTTCAAAACATTTTGCATACCTGTACATGCTAGAAATTTATATAGCTAATTCAAAGTGAAAGATTTGCTATTGGTTTGCACTGCCCCCAATTTCAACATATGCAGTTGTTACTGGGCATCTTTCAAATGCACCCAAACTTAGTCCAAACATTAAGAACTTAACATTATTCTTAGAAAGGTAGATACTTTCTTTTTATTTCTTTTAAATATGCACACACACTACATTCAAAAAGACAAAGATGGTTTACAGCAGCACCTTGCTGTGCTGCTTGGTAAACATCAGTACCAAAAGCAACCAACACAAGTTCCTAAAACAAGAATTCCCTTTTAGCCGAAGGCTTGCTAACCTTATGGAAAACATCCAAAAGTTTATTTACCCTAATTATTGTTAATCTCCTACACTGGGCACTTACTTTCATCTCTGGCCTTCATACGAGCAATAAAGGAATAGCTTTTGTTCCTGCGATAATTCTCATAGGGATCGTCTAGGGATACTCCCACACCCTTATACTGATCCCATTTGTCTCTGATATCCCCTCCTTTAATAGGGTCCTGGATCCCTTGCTCCTTGGCACCCAAGCCCCCAGATCCACTCCATCCTGAAAAACACAGAATAGCATGATCAACCACACAAAAATATCCCAGTTGCCAACCAACAGAATCATGTCTAGGTGTTCACTTCCAGTTATTCCAGACCAATTTTGCTCATTCCATTTACAGATCTGCCTCAGGAAAATTCTTCCAGTAGAGGAAATCCTGTATAAAGAAGTGGATTCAGGATCCTGGATAAATATTTCACAAAGTAGGCTAGGAAAATACTTGGAAGACTTAGGCTTTTTTGCAAACTAGAGTAAAATTGCAATTCTTGCCATTATTGGCAAAATACAGGTAGTCCTCGAATTAATGAATGTAACGGAACCCGTCCATTCCATTTGTAGCTTGAGGATTCGTAGGAGTGAATCTCGTACCTTGAATGCGATTTGCTCCCAGCTTTTGCCTACGCATTCGCTAATTTAATGTGTGGGCGAATGCACAGCTCGCTAAGTGAACATGAGGTATCTCTAGGTGGGGAAGGCTGTGAGGGGGCCTACTGCTTCCGACCACCCAAGGCCTTCCCCGACCCACAAAATACCTCATGCTCCCTCCCCTAGGGGCCCACAATTGCTCCCCCCCATCCTGCCACTCCCGGTCACTTACCTTGTGAAGATCTGTCTCCTCTCCCACCTCTGTTTCTTTCTCTGCTCCAGGCAAGAGCAGAGGGAGTCTCCGAGGCCCAGAAAGGACCTCCAGAAGCACATGGCCACCTCCCCGGTCTCGGTTCTGGAGCCCCACTGAAGCGTCTCCCAGAGTCCTTTTTGGGTGGCAGCAGCTGGGGAAAGGCCTCTGATACCTGGACCGGGTCTCTGGAGCCCACCTGAAGTATCCCCCAGTATCATTTCCGGGGGGCAGCAACCCAGAAAAGGCCTCCGACACCCAGAAAGGATGCCAGGGGACGCTTCAGCAGGGCTCCTAAGGCACGATCCGGCATTGGAGGCCTTTTGCAGGCCACTGCCACCCAGAAAGAAAACCGGGGAACACTTCATAGTGGGGCTCCAAAGGCCCAATCTGGGTGTTGGAGGCCTTTTCAAGGCCGCTGCTGTCCGGGAAGGGGGATGCTTCAGTGGTGCTCAGTTGGCCTGTTCTGGGCCTCAGAGACCTCCTCCAGGTCTCCGAGACCCAGAACGAAGGTTGTGGCGATTACATGCTTCCGGAGGTCTATTCTGGGCCTCGGAGCCCTCCTCCAGCCCAGAATGAAAGCCAGGGGAGGGTTTTGCTTGCCTCCAGACATCTGATCTCCTCCACCTTCCATTCTGTTACAGAGAACAGAGGGCTAAACTACCGTGAGATCACACAAGATGAGTGTGAGATCTCACACCACTGATCTCACATGATCTTGTGTTACTTTAGGCCTCCATTCTCTGCAAACACACTGAAGGAAGCAGTGAAACAGCCAAGAAAGCGAAGAATCTCTCGATCTCTTGATCTCCCTAGGCCAGGGGTAGGCAACCTTGGCTCTTTTATGACTCATGGACTTCAACTCCCAGAATTCCTGAGCCAGCTATGCTGAGGGGACAGGGAGAGGTTTCCAAGCTGAGCCATGCTGGCTCAGGAATTCTGGGAGTTGAAGTCCACGAGTCATAAAAGAGCCAAGGTTGCCTACCCATGCCCTAGCTCTAGTGAGACCGGTGAGGGGGAGGGAGGGACTAGCCATTGTGAATGTTGCAGTGCCACTGCGATCATTTGTAAGGGAATCTCCCATATCAAATATCGTGTGCTGTTTTCTTACAGAATTACAATGACTAAAAACTTAAAGTTACGAAAGATTTGAAAACTGCAGCTAAAGATCAGGCACGTTGTGCAAATCTTGGTTCAAAGAAACTCAACACAACTGTTCCCAACTTGATTGGAAATGAAGTCCCCAGATTCATTGCACATATGGGAAATAGGTACATTGGTTGAGAATTCTTGAAGCTGAAACCTCAACACATGTGGCAAAGCAGTGATTTCTCCATATAGGGAACAAATTTGGAAGAATACTGCCTGAAAGATAATGCAGTCTGAGAGAAATAGGCAGTCTTTCTTACCCATTTTCACCAGCATCTGATGTCCTTTATTCTCCTCTCCAAGTCTGGATTCTGGTATGGGAGGTCCTGAGCTGGAGCCCAATCCAGCGGCAGAACTACATCAGTAAGCAGAATGTAATAAATCAGATCTTTTATATATTCTTGGCTAGCACTTGCTAAAGAATGACTAATGAAGAGAGCAACTGTTACAACATGAAAGAATCTACATAGGATTTTTAAAACAGTTTTAACTGCTGTATTACATAGTTCCTCAAACATTTCTGTGTTTTGCCCCCTTCTGACCAAAATCTTTGCAGAATGAACAAGTCAAATCTTACGGAGGTGTCTGACTGCGAGATCGAGACCGGCGCCGCCTACTAGGGGAGTAGGATTTTGATCGGGACCTGGAGCGGGAACGACTTCGTGAAGAGCGGGATCTGCTCCTACTCCTACAAAATAAACAGGTGAAAATTAGTTCCATTCTACATATATTGCATCTTTCCTGATTCCTCCCTATTGATAAGAAAAAGCCCTGGAAAAGCATTGGAGCCACTGACTGATACTAGGGCAGTAACTAGAAGGTATCTGTCAGGTGTGAAAGATCAGGTCTACACCTGAAGGTTCAATTAAATTGATTTATTCCTAAAAGGAACAGGAACAAGAATTTTCTCAACTAACGATCTAGCATCTGCTTCTGGTTAGATAAGGGCCAACAGCACTGAAGGGTGAGGAGGCTGGACTTGGTTCTCTTGTGGCTATGTAGGGATTCTAGGCTGATCCCTATTTTCACTCTGGCCCCAGGTTCTGCCATCCCTTGTCCTATAGGACAGGGGTAGGCAACCTTGGCTCTTTTATGACTCGTGGACTTAAACTCCCAGAATTCCAGGGAGCCAGGAATTCTGTGAACTGAAGTCCACGAATCATAAAAGAGCCAAGGTTGCCTACCCCTGCCCTATAGTAACCTCCAAAACATGAAAGTTATCTGTTACATAGCAGGAAGTTTTAAAGCAAAAAAAAAAAAAAAAAAAAAATCTTCCAAAGGAAAACACAAGAGATACAACTTACACAAACACTACTTCTGTAGCTTTCCAACAATAACATTCAAGCTCCTTAAGAGCAAAACTGCACAGTCACTAGCCAAGTAGAAAAATCATCTTTTTCTAAACCTAATTCCCTCCCTTTTTTTTTTACCTGGACTGAGACCGGGAGTAGGACCTTGATCTGGAGCAGGATCGAGATCGAGACCTTGAGTATGAGCCTGAGGATTTTGAAGACCTTGAATTGGAGCGGGAAGAAGACCGCCCTCTGCTTTTAGACCTGCTGCGGGATTGTGAAGGGCCACTGCACCAGAAGAGGAGGAAATGAAAATACGACTTTAGCTGACTACTGAAAAAGCAGGCGTATCTAGCAATAGGAATGCTACAAGTGCCTCTGAATCTAAAATATGATCCAATCCTGATGCACATTCACAGGCAAGCAAAAAAAAAAAAAAAACTGCAAAAGATGAAATACTCGATACCTTTCCCCAACCCTGTAAACTTTGTTAGTGAGATGGGCTTACTCACAGCCAAGTGTTTGCCAGCCAAAAATAAGGTTGCA